TCGTCGCCGCGGCGACTCCGCGTGGAGCCGCCGGAATTTCGGCGTTTTAAAATTAAAACAAATTAAATATTTTGCTTTATTATTTTTGCAAACAAAAAAGAGGAAACATCCGCGCGTTTCAACAGAGACGACGGCCGGGGGGTCCCGCAGACTCGGAAGACAACGGAAAGTGCCGGCGCCGGATGGAACCACTCGGACCCAAAATGCAGGAAATTAAAACTCTTTCTTCTTTAAAAACAAAAACAATTCCGAATTGTTCAAGAGAATGCAAAAACGCGAACAGATCTGCCCGCGAAACCCCCGAAATATCACCCTCTGGCGGCTGCTGGTTTCGCGGCTTCAGGCGGCGGTCTGGGGTGGAAAGCGCGTCAAAAAGCTCCCTTTTTCGCATTTAATTCCACGAATTCCCATTTATATTTCCAGTTCACTCCGGGAAATGAAATGAACTCCCCGAGTCGTGGGGGTTTCGGTGGCCGAAGGACGCGCGGTCCAGGTGTCCATACACCCCACACACCTGCTGCGTCTGCCCGTCTCGCGGAGCCCGGGACCGCCAGCGCGGAATTCGCCGTTTAAATTCGAAATAAAACATTTAAATATTGAAAATAAAACAAATTAAACCCGTTTCCTGCGCTGCAGCTGCCAAAAGGCGAAGTGCAGCACGTCGAGACACCCGAAATCGGCACTTGCTGCCAATCGCCACCAAAGCAGCGCAACCCGGGGCACTTCACTTCGGCAAGAGAAAACAAATTAAGTTCTTTTTAAATATTTGCTGCAGCATTTCGCGTTTTGCTGCTGCAGTTCAAGTCTTGCTGCTGAGGAGAACCTGAAGATCTGGGCCAGTCGCAGCAGCAGCAGCAGCAGCAGCAGCGGCAAAATCTCTCTCAAGAAAGCCTTCATTATAATGCCACTTTTACTGCAGCAAATTAAAGTTAAATTGATTAAATTTGCTGCGCCATTTGCTGCACTCTATTTGCTTTTTATTTCTTGCTGATTCTTTTCTCTTTTGCAATTTTGCAGCTTTTTGCTTTTCTTCTCCAAAAAGCTCTTTTATCTTTTTAACTTTGAAAAAAGAAAAATAAATAAATGGGGGCCTTGCATGCATGCATGCATCTCTGCATGCAAAAAGAGTAATTTGAAAAGCTGAATTTAATTAATTAATTAAATTCACATTTTGCTGCTGCATTTCATTTTTTCTGCTGCCTGAATTGGATTTAAAGTCTCTCAAACTTTAAAAAGAATAACAAGAAAATAAAAATGTTTTTGAAAAAACAAAAAGCCTCTGTCAAAAGAGAAAAACCAAAAAAAGATGTTTGAAAGAACAATTGAACAAAACCCTCTTATTTGCTTGCTTGCTGCTGCCGCTGCTAGTGTTGCTGCTGCTGCTGCTACTGCTGCTGCTGCTGCTGCAGTGCAAAGTGTCTTTTGAGAGGAAGTTTTAATTATGATTCAAAAGAAAATAAGAACTGGCTTTCTTCTTTTTTTAATTGAAAGAAGAAAAGGCTCCTTTTTAAATAAATAAAAAGAAAAACTAAAATTAAAATTAAAATGTAATTAAAATATAATTTTGAAAAAGATCCTGCTTTTGAAAACCCCAGCTGCTTCTTATTCAACTTTCAGCGGGAACTGCATGCCTCACCTGCTGCCTAAACCCAAAACCCTAAACCCTAAATCCTAAACCCTAAACCCTAAACCCTAGGTTTTCTGACACTGCATAAGGGTTTCTAGTGAAATAAAAACCTTTAATGAGGGAGTTTGTTGACTTATTTGTTGGCCCCAAAACAAATTTGAAATTGAATTAATGAAATGGCATTTTTTCGAATTTGAAATTGCATTAATGAAATGGTATTTTTGCAAATTTGAATTTAAATAAATGAAATGGCATTTTTGCTGCTGCGGTTAGTGGAGAATACTAAAATGGCTTAAGAGGCCATTTTTAAGAAATCCAAGTTTGCGGTTATTTCAAATTGCTGCAGCAGTTCAGCTCTTGAATTTGAATTTTTGAATTAATCCTTTTAAATAATTCAATTTGTTTGAATTTTAGAATTGTTTCTTTCAAGTAATTCAACTTGTGAAATATTTCTGGAGTTCATTTTCGAGAAATCCCAAATTCAAAATCCAACGAAGAGACTTCCCCGAAACCAGTGGCCCTGGGACTCTCAGTGTTCTGCATGCAAGTTTTGGAGTGTTTGCGGAGCTGCCGTCTTTGAATAAAGTTGGAATGAATTTAATTTCCTTTTTAATTAAACTAAAACAGAACAAACTCAATTGCAGACCTCCTCGTTTTCTTGAACAAGTTCCTGCGCCTGCTCTGCAGCATGCCCGCTCGCATCGAAGGAGAGCTTTACACACTTTTGAGCCTTTTGAATTTGAATTTGAATTTAAATTTAAATTTGAATTTGAATTCGAAATGAATTCAACTTACTAATTGCTGTCGTGACACCTGAAACACTATGTCGCCTTCGGCTTTCCGCGGCCGAATCCCGCGGCGGGCATGCGGGTAGTGGCGGGGTGAAGTGCGGGTCTTCCCTGGACATCTTTTCCTTTTTTCCCCCCCAAAGTCCCAAATTAACTCAAATGTTGGCAAATAAAGTGGTTGGGACCAATTGGGATATCGAAAATGGAAGAGAAGCGGCTGGATCGCGAAGCTTTCCTGGAAAGTTCGGGTGTCTTGACAGCTGAATACCGCGGCGAGCCGTTCCAAGACTGCCGCTTCGAAGGCATTTACTGTTTCGGCGCCACCGAAAGCCGCAACTTCGCAGTAATTGGCTGTCCCTGCGGAACTTTGAAAGTGGGATCTGTGTTGGGGCTGAGTTCGAAGTTTCCTTCCCGCACGGGCCCGGTTTCCTTCCCCCGGAACTTCCGCCTCTCCCGTGAGGCCAGAGAGTCGATTGCGGATCAGCATGCATTTCGAAACGAAAAGTTCCCCATGGAAATCGCCTTGACGGCCCTCGTCGAGTGCCGCAACCGCTGGAACAGCGTCCCCAGCACTGCCCCTGCAGCCCCAGCTCCGCACGCAGAAACCCCGAGCAGCAGCAGCAGCAGCAGCAGCAAACACGACGGCGTCAGCAGCAGCACCAGACGCAACGGCAGCAAGTGCCGGCGCAAAGGCAGGAACAGCGGCAGCCGCAGCAGCAACGACTGCTACGGCAGCAGCCGCAGCAACGACTGCTGCGGCAGTGGCCGCAGCAATAACGACCACAACAGCAGCAGCGGCAGCAGCAGAAGCAGCAGCGGCAACAACAGCGGCGACAGCAGCAACGACTACAACAGCAGCAGCGACAACAGCAGCAGCAGCAGCAGCGGCAGCAGCAGCAGCAGCAGCAGCAGCGAGTGCGGGGGCTTGGAGCTTCTGCGGTCCTTCGAGGTGATAACGTCTCGCAGGGCTTTGCGTTGTTTGCTGCGTTTTTTGTTTCCGTTTTACTCTCCGTACTTGGGGAGCTTCTGCATCGACGCGGACTTGGTTGGAAATAGTTTGCTGCTGAGCTGCAGCAGCAGCAGCAGCAGCAGCAGCAGCGCGAAGGGCGTGGCAGGGGGCTTCGGGAGGGACTTCGAGCGGCGCTGCGTGAAGCGCGCTGCTGCGCGGCTAGCTGCGAAAGGCGCAGAAGATTTGACTTCAGCTTTTGTGTTGCATTCGACAAGTCTTTTTGGAGCGCTGCGGCTGGTGGTGTCAGCAGAGATCGACGCGCTGCTGCCGCTGCCAGGGGCGGCTGCAGCAGCGCGCCGCTGCTGCTGCTGCTGCTGCAGCGGCAGCAGCGGCTGCTGCAGCAGCAGCAGCAGCCGCTGCTGCTGCTGCTGCAGCTTCGAGTTCAGGCGAATCGGAAGCAACGACTGCTTCGTTCACAGCTGCCCGACTCTGTCTTTGCTCGAGCAGCAGCTGCTGCAGGGCTCGCCGCCCTTCGTGGAGTTGAAGACCCATTCAAGTTTTTCGGACTTCGCCGCTGCAGACGCTGCGGACCAGATGCTGCTGGGGGGCGTTCGGAGGCTTTTGAAGGCTGAACACCGCAGCGGAGAAGTCAAAAAAGTAAAATTAATTGAATTGAACTCTTTGCTGCATCAGATCAACTCACAGGAGTCCCCAGACAGCCAAATCGCCCGCTGGAAAGCGCTAGCGGCGCTGCTGCTGCAGCTCCGGAAACTTGCACAAGACGCCAAGGATCTCCCCTCAGACGAAGTTGCATGCATTCGAGTTCAGTATTTCGCTCGCAAGGAGTATTTGAAAATTCAAAAAAGAAATAAAGAAGAAGTCCGACTTTCCGAAGAAGCCGCCAGCTGGCTCAAGACCCCCGGCCCCGCGCGCTGCCGCTGAGCCGACTCCGTCGGAAATAAATGTTTCGCATTTCAAGTTTTTCAATCTTCTTCTTCCAAACAATTCCAAAACTCTTTCAAGCTCAGATTTTCTCCGCTGGGAACCGCGGGAGACCCCGCGAACTCGCCAGCTTCCTGCAGGTTCTGCTGCGCAGCTTTCAACTTCTGCACTTCGGATTCTCCAGAACGAAAGCTGCATTTCAAGTTTTTCCTTTCTTTTAAATTTCCATTTGAACTTCTTTTAATACCCACCGCTCAGCAGCTTCTCGCGAGTTTTGGCTTTCAGGATCTGCACAAGTCGTGCAAGTCTTCAGGATCTGCACAGGTCGAAGTGTGGCTTTTTCTGCATTTTCTGCATTGAAAAGAATTGCAGGTTTCAAGGAATAAAAAAAGATGAAATTTGGGAAATAGAAACTTTGAAGAACGAATTTTGATGCAAAACTTGAAAGCCTGCCGGAGGTGGAAAGCTGAAACCCGAGTGCTGCGGGAAAAGGTATTAAAGAGGCGAAACTTGCAAAAATTTGCAAACAAATGAACGAATTTTCTCCAAAAAGTCTACAAAAAGACTTTTTGATTCTTTTAAAGTATTTCAAAATTGAAAATTCGCAAATTCAATTCAAGTTCAGATCGCGTTTCGGAGGAGTGCTGCAGACAGTACAGCGCGCAGCAGAAGAAACAAAACAGGAAAGTTATCAGAAATGCCTTTTGCAGCAAATAAATTCAAAGTTTGCACTTTAGTGGCATTTCTGAATTCAATTCAAGTTTGCTGCTGCAAAGGTTCACCTTTTGTTCAGCTTTTTTCTCTTGCTGCTCAGAGAATTCGGGTTTTTGCAACAAGACCACCGCTAGTCTGGGCATTTAGTGCAGTTTATTCATTAAAATTAGTCAATTAATGTAATTAATTTCATTAAAGTGAATAATTTGATGCAATTAATTCAATTGCAACTTGTTGAGTGGTCTCGGGCGACAGACATTTTGCAGAGGATACTGAGGCGCATGCAAGTTGCATGCAATTTCATGATTTGGAGATTCTCCGCTTGACAGCGCAACTAACCTCATTTAGTGGTTTATTAATGGTTATTAATGGTTTATTAATGGTTTATTAATGGTTATTAATGGTTATTAATGGTTATTAATGGTTATTAATGGTTTGTTTCCTTCATATTCAGCAGTTCTTCAGGACTGCCGGTGGCTGCAGTCCGGATTTTTCGGAATATGCGGGGAAAAGGAATTCACAAATATAAGCAGTTTGGAAATCATTTGAAAATAAAACAGAAAATTCGCAGAGATAAACAGTTTTGAATTGGCTTAAATTTGAAAAATGTAAATTTGCACATTAAAACAGTTTTTAAATGGTTTAAAAACGTGAAAATACCCGACGAGGAAGATGCATGCAATTTCTCTGTATTTCCGAAACTCTTTTGTGGAAGTCGACAAGCTTTTGCATGAAACATTAAAAATGGTATTTTAAAATAAAATTAATTTCAAAATTAAATAAACAAAATTAATTTTAAGATTAAAAGTGAAAAAACAAAGTATTTGTGGTTTCTTTTTGGGGAATTTTTCAAAGCCCACACAAAACTTGGGGTTAGAAACCCGAATATAAAACAAGAAAGAAAACGGAATAAAAGACAGGAAATAAAACAGAATATGAAGCAAAAAATAAAAATAATTTAAAACATGAAATAAAACATAATACATTCTTTTTTAAGTTTCAATTTTGGTTTTTAATGCAGGAGTTTCAATCTGCCGATTGCCTTCACAGCAACACTGGCAGGATGCAGGAAGCAACTTAATTTCTTGAATTTGCAATTGCTGCATTATTTTTTCTTTTTTATTTCTTTTTATTCTTTTAGTGGAAGTTATTTGTTTTTTAAAACGAAGAATGGCCTTTTCCGCCACTAGACAGGACACAGCAGCTTGACTGGCTGGCTGGGGCTGCTGGGGGCCCCCCTGGGGCTTTCTGGTGAGTTCGTGGATAGAAATAGTTTAAGTAGTTTCCAAATTATCTTTTATTCTAAAATTGAAATGAATTATATGAAGCATTGACGGCCTTTATGGTGTACAGGCAGCCCAACACCGCAGATCGTCCCGCTTTTTACACGCCGTGTCTTGCAAAAGTGTCACTTGCGAGTCAAAAAGCAAATTAATCTTCAGAAAAAAAGAGGAGAATAAAAAAGAGTTTCTTTTTTGAACTTTAAATGGATTTTGAGGAAGTTTTCGCTTTCTTTCTCGTTTCGGGGCTTGCGTTTCCGTCGAGCCGCCGCAGCTGTTTGACGCCAGCAGCAACCCGAGGATCCGGAGAGTTTTCCCGTTTGTTCTTTGTTTATTTATTTTCCAAAAGAAAATAAATACCATTTAATTCAATTAATTTGCAAAAAACTGCAGATTCCCCGCGGGCAGCGGCGTCGTTCAGATCTGGACTTGCAAAATTCAACAAGTGGCGATTCAAACGATGCAGAAGCCTCGAGGCACTTTCGGAGGAGTTTCTTCGGAAAAAAGAAGAAATTGAGAAATTAGAAAGAATTAATTCACAAATAAAGGTAATTTAAACAGTTAAAAGTCTCGAAAACAAACTTATCACATGCAATTGTCTCAGCTACCTGCAGGGATACAGCAGGGTTTAGGGTTTAGGGTTTAGGGTTTGGGGGTGACACAAAGAGAACAAGAAAAAGCTTGAGCTGAATAGACATAAAAGGATTATTTCTGGATTTGAAAAGTCAAATAATTTGAATTTGAAATTAAATCTTTTTTGAATATTCAAGTTGCATTATTCCATTCCAAAGAACCATTTCCGTTTGTTTTCAGAAACAGAAATGCAATTTAGGAATATAATAATTTTTTTTTTTTTAATTTTTGTCTTTTAATTTTAATTTTAATTTGGTTTTTATTTTTGTTTTCTTTTTATCTCTCTACGAATTCCCAGTGTCATTACTCATGGTTGCTGTCCTGTTGCAGTTCGCCCCACCACTAATAATAATATTTTTGTTTCTTACTATTTTTATTGTTTTATTGTTTTTATTCTTTTAATATTGTTATTGTTTTATTATTATTATCGTATTATTATTGTTTTACTATTATTATTGTTTTATTGTTTTTATTGTTATTATTATTGTCTTGTTATTATTATTTGTTTTATTAGTTTTATCATTTTATCACTTTTACTGTTTTATTAGCTTTATTGTTCTATTATTCTATTTATTGATTGCTTTTATTGTTTTATTATTTCTATTGTTTTATTATTTTTTTGTTTTATTATTATTATTATTATTATTATTGCTAGTATTATTATTATCGTTTTATTATTTTTATTTTTAGTCAGAATTTATTCTTATTATTATTACTATTATTATTTATTGTTCTTGTTGTTATCGTTGTTATTATTTGTTGTAATTTATTATTACAATTATTATAATTATTATAATTATTATTATTATTATTATTTATTACAATTTATTACAATTTTATTAACAGTAAATAATGATAATAATTATTACTATTAAAGGTCTGAGTTGCAAAATCTGCACTACATGTTTGCAAGTTGAAATCCGAATTCAAATTAAATCCTTTAAATATTTTGAAATGAAACTTTCCGTTTTTTAAATTTTAATTGTCAGACCTTGATGGCATTATTATGTTAATGGCATTATTATGTTAATGGTATTATTATTTAAATGGCATTATTATGTTAATGGTATTATTATTTAAATGGCATTATTATTTAAATGGCATTGTAATGTTAATGGCATTATTATGTTAATGGTATTATTATTTAAATGGCATTATTATGTTAATGGTATTATTATTTAAATGGCATTATTATTTAAATGGCATTGTAATGTTAATGGCATTATTATTTAAATGGCATTGTAATGTTAATGGCATTATTATTTAAATGGCATTGTAATGCTAATGGCATTATCATTTAAATGGCATTATTATGTTAATGGCATTATTATTTAAATGGCATTATTATGTTAACGGTATTATTATATTAATGGCATTATTATTTAAATGGCATTATTATAGTAATGGCATTATTATTTAAATGGCATTATAATGTTAATGGTATTATATTTTCAACTTTTCTTTTTTTGAATGAAATCAGGAAATGGAATTTTCTTCAATTTCATTTCAAGAGGCCCTCGAGGGCTGGAGGACTGTAAAGAAATGCGAAGCGCGGGGGCTGTTGGAAACAGCAGATTTGTGGGACATTTTATTTTTTAATTTCTTTTTTTGCATTTAAATTCACCTTTTTGCCATTTAAATTAAACCATTTAATCCTTTTGGCATTTAAATTCAACTATTTAATCCTTTTGGCATTTAAATTGAACTATTTAACCCTCTTGCCATTCAAATTCCATTTATTTAATCCTTTTTTCCATTTAAATTCCACTTGTTTAATCCTTTTGCCATTTAAATGCAGCTATTTAATCTTCTTGCCATTTGAATGCAACTCATTTAATGTTTTTGCCATTTAAATGCAACTTATTTAATGTTTTTGCCATTTAGATCCAACTATTTAATCTTCTGCCATTTAAATTCAACTATTTAATCCTTTTGCCATTTAAATTCAACTACTTAATCTTTTGCCATTTAAATTCAAGTGTTGAATGGTTTTGGAATTCTCGTTCAAGTTGTTTGTCTTTGCAAATAAATTGTTTGTTCTTTGTGCTTTCTGCCGCAAGAAGCAGCAGCAAAAAGAGAAAAAGTGCCGAAATGCATTCAAAAGAAATATTTATTTATTTTGATTTCGTCTTTAACTCCTGAAACGGTGAACGGGGTGTACAGACAGCTGCTGGGACAGTCGCGGCGAAACGGAAGCTGAAAACACTTAAAGACTTTTGGCAGCATTTGAAGACTTTGGAAAGATTTAATTCTTTAAAGCATGCAATTCTCTAAAGCATGCAAGAACAAAGAAGTGCATGCAGCAGCAAAAGGCTTTTTCTTTCTTGCTGCTGCAGCTTGAGGGAACTTTTGTGTTTTGCAAAAAACCAAAAAGATGTAAATGCGGCTTTTCGCGCTGCAGCAGCAGAGCCCGACGAACTCGCCAGCCTGCCCCCCTGCTGTTTGTCTGTGGGCACAAACAAACAATAAATAAATAATAAATAAATAGATAAATAAATGAATAATAAATAAATAAATAAATAAATAAATAGATGAATAGATAGATAAATAAATAAATAAGGAAGTAAATAGACAAATAAATAAATAAATAGATGAGTGAATAAATAAATACATAAATAAATAAATAGATAAATAAATCAATCAATATACGAATAAATAGATAAATTAATAAATGGATGAATGAATGATAAATGAATACAGTGAATATATAATAACGCTTTATTTCGGCAATTGGGTTTTTTGCTTTGTCTTATTTCGTTGCATTTGGATTAAATTGAGTTAATAATTAATTAATTAATTAATTAATTAATTAATTATTGGATTTAATATAATCTATTTTTGTTTTATTTTAATCACGTTGCTGCTTGCTGCATGCGCTGCTGCTGCTGCGGATTGCTGCTAGTGAATAAAGAGTTCCTTGAAATGATTTGTTTGATTATTTCTTTTATTTCTTTTATTTCTTTATTTCTTTTTTTAATTTTTTTATTTCTTTTAGTTCAATTTGCCCCTTTGACTGCTCTTTTATTTTTGCTCTGGGCCCTTTCGGTCGCCTTCATGTTTTATTTATTGCCATTTTCCATTTTAATTGTTTATTTATTTATTTTCAATTTATCATCGATTCATGTTTTAATTATTTTTTATTTTTTATTTTTAATATATTCTTTCATTTTTTAATCTTATTCTTGATTAACGCGGCGCTGCGCTTTCGCTGTTTTCCATTTCTCCATTTATTTACCATTTATTATTTATTTATTAATGTACAATTAATTAATTGATTAGCAGATTAACTAATTAATTAATTAATTAATTACGTAGTTAATTTATTAATTAATTAACTAATTAATTGTAGTAGTTAATTAATTAATCAGCTAATTAATTGTAATTAATTAATTAATTAACTAATTAATTAATTAATTAATTAATTAGCTAATTAATTAACTTATTTATTCATTTGTCTCAGAGGGCTCTTTACTTAACTTCTCTTTTGCGGCGAGGAGATTTCTTTGGGTTTTGTCCTTCTGCATTTGCTGCATGCAGCCACAGGTATTAGAATTAGAATTTATTTATTTTATCATTTACTATTCACTTATTTATTTAGTTTATTATTTATTTATTTGTTAATTAATTAATTAATTAATTAGTTAATTAATTAATCAACTTATTTGAATTCAATTTGTTTGTTATTTCGCGTTTACCCCAAAAGCTCACTCTGCATGCAGCCCCAGTTTCATTTATTACTTCATTTTAAATTTTAAAATTCTAAATTTTAAAATTAAAATTAAATTTTTATTTTTAATTGAATAAAAGCTTTTTAATTTCTAATTTGTTTTCTATTTGACTGCTTGAGTTGCAGAACATTCGAAACTTCATTTGCTTTTTTTATTTTCCCCTTTTGTCTTTATCTTTTTTGATTTTTTTTGTTTTTCTTTTACGAATTTCATTTATTCATTTATTTTAATTTTATATTTTAATTCTGACTTTCAAACACTTCAATTATTTTATTTTCTCGAAAAATCTGAACTTTTGCATATTCGTGAACTTCAAGTTTTTCTTTTTGCAAGTTCATTTTCCCCTTTATTTCTTTATTTCTTTTTCAATTTAAATAAAAATTAGAGTTTATTTTTAATTTTATAATCATTTATATTTATATTTATTTCCTTTTTGTCTTTTTCGTTCTTTTTCCAATTTCCAATTTTCTGCATTTGCAACTTCTCCGGTGTACATACACCCGAATGACGGCCTTTGGAGTTCAAACTTCATTTTTTGAATTTTCGTTTTTTCACTTTAGATTAAAATGTTTGAATTTTAAACTTTGTTTAATGCATTATATTTGCACCAATTTGCACAATTGAGGGTTTTAATGGTTTGAATTGCCATTATTCATCTTTTGTCTTCGTAACCCTAAACCCTAAACCCTGCGTTTTAAAGCGCGGAGAAAGAGGCGGCGCACACCAAACCCTAATTTGTGGCTTGCTGCAGTGAGGACTTGAGGCAAGAAACTCCTTTTTTGCTGTTTTGCAATTTGTTCTTAAAATTAAATCAAGAACAAACAAAAGCTACTAATCTTGTTGCAGCTGGGGAACGAAGAAACGTAAGAGTTAGGGTTTACGGGTGAGGGTTTAGGGTTTAGGGTTGAGGGTTTAGGGTCGACGGGTTAGGGTTTAGCAGGAGCTCATAGTTCCACTTCCAAGGCTTAGGATTTAGGGTTTAGGGTTTAGGGTTTGTGTGGGGTTTTTGATTTGGCATTAGGGCTTCGGCCGGGAAGTCTGCAAACCCTCATACGGATTTAGAGTTTAGGGTTTAGGGTTTAGGGTTGAGGGTTTAGGGTTTGTGTGGTTTAGGGTTTAGTATTGGGGCTTCGACCGGGCAGTCTGCAAACCCTCATAAAAGAAACTTCTTTTATTTTGGAGGGTTTTGCAAAAGAAGGAAAACTTGACGAATTCGGCTGGTGGCTGCTAGCCACTGTTCGCAAAGGTAAACCCTAGGGTTTAGGGTTTAGGGTTTAGGGTTTAGGGTTTAGGGTTTAGGGTTTGGCGACGCAGGCAGCAGCAGGCGGCCCTCTGCGTAGTTTGTCAGCTGCCGTGGTTCATCCTGCTGCTGCTGCTGCTGCTACCTTTTCCGCTTGCTGCTGCTGCTGCTGCTGCGGCTGTTGCTGCTGCTGCGGGTGTTGCTGCTGTTGCTGTTCTTCCTATCATCACGCCCTTCAAAACCCTGTTCTGTTGCTTTGTGCTGCTGCTGCTGCTGCTGCTGTGTCTGCTGCTGCTGCTGCAGCACAGCAGCGCCCCATTGCTTCAATTGCTGCTCTGCTGCAGTCGATTCGCTGCTGCCGCTCTTTTGCTGCTGCTTGGCATGACTTAGTGCAGCAGCTAGCAGCACAAATCTTTGCTGAGGGGGG